CCTCCCCCCGGCTCCCCTGCTCAGAGCAGCTTCAGTGTCACTTCTCGGCCAAGACCCACACGCTTCCCTGTAGGTCCCACTGATGTTCTCAGTACCGAACTATGTGTCCTATGCACCCACACTAGTCTGTTTAATGGGTCTCTCACTGGCCTGTGATCGGGGGCGCAGGAAGCCGCGTTTGCTCACCACCGCCTCCCAGCCTGTTCCGCACACACATGGGCGCACAGTCACCTGCCACGAGGTCACGATGCCAAAGAGAGCGGGAGGCTCCTGGGCGGCCTTGATCCAGTCTGCAGCCGACTGGCACCGCCGCTTCCCTCACTCCGTCTTTTAGCAACAAAAGGCGATGATTCTCACCATTTCTGGCCACACTGTCTAAAGTGTCACTGGCGCTCGGCCTATCACTGGGAGGATCTGTCAGAGCAGCTGAATCATGTGGCGGGGGCAGCGGGGTGGGCAGCGCCAATGGCTGTCCTCCATGGGCACCTGCTCCCTGTGGCAGCCTGTCGGGGGGGAAGCCTGGCCCTTGTGGTTAAACAGGGGAGTCACAGGTGCCAGGGGGCTGAGCCAGGCTTGAGTGTGTGGAAAGGAGCCCCTTAGCGTCACAGGAGTGCACAGGGGCTCCGTCCTCCGTCTGAAAGTCACAAGCAGGAAAATGTGTAGGACACGGGGTAAACAAAGATGGGGCATCTCGATTCTCGATGGCATGAAGCCCTGGTGGCTGCCGGGAATGACCTGAGACAGTTCCTGAATGCCCCACTGGAGAGGCCATCAGTGGGCAGTGGCGTCCTGCTACCACCCCGACACCTGTGGCAGGACAGTACCGACGCCCTCGGGGGCTCGTGCGGGAGGCAGAGGTCAGCATGGCGACTTACCTCCTCTCTCTTCCTCTGTCCTCCGGCCGGCCCTTCCCTGTCCTCTTCTCCCCGAAGGGGCTGTTTGACACACAGCTGTTGTTAGCACAAGGCTCGGAGCATGTCACAGACTCAGAGCAGGAGCGAAGCCTAAAAAACATTGGGGACTGTCCACGGGCTGAGCTCCCCGCACTGTCCTGGGCCGCAGAGACCCCTCTGCCCCATGGCATCAGCCCCTAGCAGGCCCCAGTAGCATCAACTTCATCATAATCACAAGAGCTTCAGTCATGACTGGATTGGATGACCTGAGTGGCACCATTCTCTGTTTCAAAAGTCCAGAAGCCATGTGGAAATACACACCTATAGGCTGGCGTCTCAGTACTGAGATTACGGATGACTGATATACAGGAGTGATTCATGCAATTCATGTTTTCTGTAATGCTCATGTATTGGGTTGTCGGAAAAGTCATGACACATGTTTGCAACAGATGGCACTAGCTCATTTTTGGAAGTACTAGTCATTCACATCTATGTGATTGCTAAGCCATTTGACAGCTGACAGTTCTAGCTTCATTCTAAAAAAAAATTGAGCGATTTGGTTGAGTTTTGGAGATTTTACAACAAGTTGGAGATGGAAGACCAAATTGTGCATTTTTGCCATTTACTGTTTTACTTCCATAAAGGGAAAAACATGTGTCAAGCTTGTGAAAAGTTGCATTAAGCTTACAGTGACAATGCTCTACAAGAACGTCAGTGCCAACGATGGTTCATGAAACTCTGTGCTGGTGATTTTGATCTCAATGACGCTCCTTGGTCAGGGAGGCCCACCGAGGCTGATGATGACAAAATAAAGGCATTGATCAAGTCAAACCCACGTTACATGACACGAGAGATTGCAGGAACATTGAACATCCAACATTCAAGCGTTCATGACCACCTGAAGAAGCTGGGATACGTAAGCAAGCTCGATATTTGGGTTCCGCATGAACTCAAATAAGTTCATTTGACAGCGCGTATAAAACATCTGCAATATGCTCATTAAACATGAGGAAAACGATCCTTTTTTGAAGCGACTGATCACTGGTGATGAGAAGTGGACTGTTTACAACAATGTGGTGTGCAAATGGTCTTGGTCCCAAAGTGATGATTCTCTTCAAACGACATCGAAAGCAGACATTCATCAGAGGAAGGTTATGCCCTCAGTGTGGTGGGATTTTAAAGGTGTTGCAGACATTCATCAGAGGAAGGTTATGCTCTCAGTGTGGTGGGATTTTAAAGGTGTTGTGCTTTTCGAGATCCTACCAAGGAACCAAACAATCAAATCGAATGTGTACTGTCGGCAATTGGACAGTTTGAATGAATCCATCATCCAGAAACGTCCAGAGCTTGTTCATTATAAAGGAGTTGTGTTCCATCGTGACAACGCGAGACCACACACAAGTTTGATCACCCATCAAAAATTATTGGAGCTTGCGAGTCCAGCCCGAGCTGAGCAGCCGCTGAGCTGCCAATAGGTAGCAGGATGGCTCAGCTTAAAAAAAAAAAAAAAAAAAAATATTGGAGCTTGGATGGGATGTGATGCCACACCCACCATACTCACCTGACCTTGTGCTGTCAGACTTTTCCACTTGTTTCGCTCTCTTCAAGACTCCGTGTGTGGTATAACGTTCAATTCAGATGAGGCCGTAAATCAGCACCTTGTTCAGTTTTTTGCAAATAAAGACAGGTCCTTCTATGAATGAGGAATTATGAAGCTCACTGAAAGATGCCAAAAGGTTATTGAACAAAACGGGCAATATATCTTTGTTCTTTACATAAATAAATGAACTTTGAAAAGCTAGACAAAATACATGATGACTTTTCCGACAACCCAATATTACATTTTCATTCTCAGAATTAATGCATGCTCGAAGTCTGAGTTAAGAAAAAAAGCCTTGAGGGAAGAGGATGAAATTCTAGAAGTCTAACTGGAAACAGGATTCATCATTTGAATTTAATGTGGAATTCCGAGGGGGCCGGCTGGAACCCACTGGTAAGGCTGCGGGGCTGTCACTGTGGGGGCAGCTTTCCCAGCGAGGCACTTTCTAGAAACGGATGTTCTGCTCCTCCCCACACAAGGGCCCCCTGGAGGCTGTGCCTGCTGATGTGGACAGGCCGGGAGGCTCCGCTCATTTAGCTGCACACACATCCACTCTGCACTCTCTCCAGGCTCCTCTCATGTTCAGGTCATTCTGCTGGAGGTTTAAAAAAAAACTTATTTACCAAACAGAGTCACTTCATAGATGCTTATTCCCTGTTTCCATGTTTCCCAGGATCAAGGTTTTGATACCTTTGATGGGATACAACAAAAAGGCCAGGTTTTTTTTTTTTTTTTTTTGGGGTTGGGGGCGGTGATCACTTCTATTTATACAATATCACCTATAGCATTTTTTCTACTTGACTTTAGGTCAGCATTGCCACTCTGCCACTTCCTTATATTCCCCTCTTGCCACTGGTCTGGACTTGTAATGGTCAGTATGTTGAAAAATGACCAAGTCTGTGGAATAAACACTGGGTCGTACGTGAGACCCCAGCTGTGGAGCTGGCACCGAGAGGACAGGCAGGGGCAGGATGAAGGCGGCTGAGAGTCACAGCCTGCTCACCTGACTCCTGCTCGGTGGCCTCGGCACATGGCATTGCATGCTACACATGCATCAAAGCCCGAAGGAGCCTCTGCCGCTGGAGGCACCTGCCCCAGGCATGCACGCCAGGACTCACGCTCGCTCGCTCTGCCCTTCTGGGGACATTAGGGACTGGCCTTTGACAGGATGCAACACACCAGGAAAACAGATGTCATCACAGCAAGTCTGAATGGATTTATGAAAACCATGTATACCAAACATGTTGAGCGGACCACCAGCACACTGCATGTCGCGACGTCTATCTTCCCCGGTACACGGTACTCAGGGACGAGAGCCATCGGTGCACGTCAGCCCGTCTTGGGCAGGTGGGTGCTGCAGTGACTCTCTAGGGGAGGTGCCACGATGGAACACTAAATGCTGACGCCAGAAGGCCACCGCTGCACTGTCCCCTCCTGCCCCCCCCCCCCCCCCCCCCCCCCCCCCCGTCTCAACCCTAGGCCTCCCGCCCCCACGCCTCTCCCCCACACGTGCATGTGTATCTTTACATGAACGTGCCCGTTTCCTGTTTGGAAGGTATGTCCCATAGGCCTTCATACAAACACAGTATTTGTGACAACTCTCCTGTGTGTCAGGCTTTGTTTAGCACGTGGAGGAAAAACTGTGATCACCAAATAATGAACCTTCTAATAAAATGAGTATTACAGTTACTTGCTCTGAATTTTGGGGACTGAGAATTTAACTTCATGTTGGTTTTGAATGCTAAGGGGTATTTTCTAAGCAAAGAAAACATAAGGATTTGTTTCCATAACCATCCCAAGGCTGATCCAGGCCCTCCCGGGCAGTGCTGACGCGGCGAGCAACGTGCAGCCCGTGTGCGGTCCCTGCACGTGCACTCTGAGGAGGCCTTTCTCTTACACACCCAGTCAGGGAACGTGTCCCAGGACCCTGAGGTAGCCAGTCATAACTAATCACCGTGTTCCAAGATTAGTTCTTGATCTTTGAGTTAAAATGACCAACTCACTTTTTTTTTTTTCCTCTTTTTTTTTTTTTTTTTTTTTAAAGCTGAGCCATCCTGCCACCTGTTGGCAGCTCAGCTCAGGCCAGGCATCAAACCGCTGTTGCTCAGAGCTCACACTCTTGAGCTCTTAACCAACTGAGCCACTCGGCCAGCCTGCGACTCACTTTTTTTATCCAAAAAGTAAAACATTACAAGAATAAGAATTCTGGAGCACTCTATAAATTACAAAGCCTTAACTCAGAATCTCTGAAACAATTTCTCTACAAACAGAATAGTTAAAAATATTTCAGTAAAAAAGCTATGTGTGTTCTTATGTGTAAACAGAACTATGAGAAAAACATCGTATTTTGAGGAAATTTATTGTTACATTTTTTTGCAGTAATAGATGAGGCAAAACTATCTCCTGTTTCTCCAACATTCAATAAAAAAGACAATAATCAAGGATAACAGTGAAATTAAAATACAAAATTACAAAAGCTAAGGTTTGGAGACAAAAATGACTAGGCTCTATGTGTAGAAAAATTGCAAATGGTTTTAGTTTAGCCTTGTAAATAGCTACCTTCTTCTCTGGTTATGACGATCGCAGCCCTCCGAGCTGGGCGCCTGTGACACCTCTCTCCTGGGCCTGGCCCAGCGGAGCTGGTCAGGGGCCCCTGCTCAACAGTCACAAGCTCTCATTACGTACGTGAACGTGAACCAGCAAATGTATCAAACTGTTTAAAGGAAAAAAGCACTCACTGACGGGGTCGGGAGGGCAGTTCAAACACTGCCATCCGTTAGTGCCACCAACCCGACGGCGGCGGCCCCGCCTGAACCATGAAGAACACCTACCCGCTGGTGAGGCGTGGCCTGGCTCCTGACAAATCTCTGAGCCCAGCACAGCGCCTGGTAAGGGGCGCTCCCAGTCACCTCCCGCCCCATGAAGCCCATCGAGTGTTCGCTTCCCTTTAAGCCACGTCGCCGGCATGGGTCCTGGGTCACAGCCTTTCGGTTTATGAAGAGCCACAGGAAGCATTACAAAAACAACTTTTTCCAACCAAAGAAAGGGCTAAAACCCCCGCGAACACCGCCACACAGCCTGAGCACCAAAAGCGATTTTCATGCTGTCTTCTCCTTAAAACCATGGGACCACAAGGTGACTCCGGAGCAGGTTGCCTCCTCCCTGTCCTTCTGGGTCAGCATCTGCCACAACATGCAAGTTTTTCCGGCTTGCTGATAATGAGCCAAGAGATGCAAAGGAGCGGGGACAGTGTGGCCTTAGGACAAAGGCCCTAGGATGTGTGATTAAACCACAGTGACATTCTGGTACCAGCTACAGAGGAAGCTTTTTCTTTTAAATGCTAAGGAAAGTCCTAAATACATGAGACAGACTTTTTAGTAGCGTGACACACAGCGGGGACCAGTTGGAATGCAATGCGTTTTATACACAGTGACACCTGGCAGGTGACTGGACCAGCGCCCTGAGCGTCAGGGCCACCAGCTCCCAGCCTCCTGCAGTGTCACCAGTGAGAGGCACGCCTGCCAGTGCGTGCTTGTGTGTGCATGACCAGAAAGAGCCCTTGATAAGGACCTAGAGGAAAGCTGACAGGGACTGGCTGGCTGAAGGCATCAGGGTCATGGCAGTTTGGGGACACCCAGGTCCCTCCAGGGTCTGTGGGCTCCCGGAAAGCTCAGCTGTGGGGTGCCCCGAGCAGCTGTGCGTTAACGAAAAGGCATGCTGGTGACCTTACCAGCTTTCCAAGGCCCAAGAGGAACAGGAAGCTCTCTACAACTTCCGGTGCAGCCAGCTGCAGGTGTGAGAAGATGACGTGTAAGATGGAAAAATCACCTGCATGGCCAGGCGGTTTTCGGCTCCGCCAGTGGGCGGAGCGAGGGCAGGGCCGTGTGCACAGGGGGAGGGGACAGTCACTGTGGTACACCGTTTCCACGCATTTCCAGCCCATGCTATGTTCCTGAGCAACATGACAAGGCAGAAAGGACAGTGCACGCTGGGGGGCATTAAGGCAAGACCACGCCTGTGGGGCTCCCGCTCCCATCCTCTGAAGCTGGGAACCCTGGCTTCATCTGACATGCCTGGATCGGGGCCTCTCAGGAAACGGGCACAGGAGTTTTAAAAGGCAACTCGTTTACTTTGGGAAGTGGCAGTGAGACCCCCTGGGGGGCTCCGAGTTAGCAGCATGAGTGCACACGTGACCTCCTACAAGCTACCATTAGGCAAAGCTTGGGTTAGTCTGTCTCACTGAGGACTTGCCAGTTAGAGAGAAAAGCCGTCTGCGAGGCCAGCTGGTTTGTGTTTGTCATAAGAGGGTGTGCGAGCGTGCGCACACACACACACACACATTGTGTCAGAAAAGGAATAAAGTTTCTGTAAAAGAAAGCCGTGTTATGCGGTCTTACAGGTCAACACCAAAGAGATCACTTGGACTCAGTAGTTTACCAGCCCCCGGCTTCAGTAGCTCATCAGTGTCCATGTCCTCAGCTCCAAGCGGTGGTGTGGCCGGCGGCGCAGGCGGCATCCGCGGCCCGGGTGCTCAGGCCCGGGGGACGGTGCAGTAGGAGCTCTGAGCAGTGGCCGCGGGGAGGCCTCACTGCAGCATGATGTCCTTCAGGTTGTCCTGCAGGATGGTGTCCTTCACAGCATGGAACACGAAGCGGATGTTCTCAGTGTCTATGGCGGTGGTGAAGTGGTGGAAGAGCGGCTTGCTGCGGTTTCTTCTCTTCCGGTCGAAGCACTGGACCAGGTAGCGCTGGACGTCCTCCAGCCGGTGGGGGTCGCCCTTGAAATCGGGGAAGTGCTTCTTGATACTGACGGTCTTCACCTTCTCCACCAGGAGGTCCATCTTGTTGAGGAAGAGGATGATGGAGACGTTGAAGAAGAGCTTGTTGTTGACGATCGTCTCGAAGATGTTCATGGACTCGACCAGCCGGTTGGTGCGCCTGTCCTCCATGAGGACCTGGTCGTACTCACTAGAGGACACCATGAACAGGATCGATGTGATCCCGTCAAAGCACTGGAACCACTTCTGGCGCTGAGACCGCTGGCCACCCACGTCCACCATCTTAAAGGGGATTTTCTTAATAACAAAGTCATGTTCCACAATGCCCTTGGTGGCTTTCCTCGCCAGCAGAATGTCTTGCTTACTAGGAAAGTAGTTCTGTAAAATATAGGACAAGGGAGAGACTTAGGAGAGGAAGAGAAAATGGGTGGAAGGACAGACCGGCAGGCTGACTTCTGCGAGAAGTCGAACCAAATACCAGAAGCAATGTTCATTTATAACATTGGAAATGTACCACAAAACAGGAAGTGAAGGAATGAAATAGCTCATTTCAAAATGAGCAGAGGCTCATCAGTCTGAGGACGTCACCAGAAGGCTCACCGTTAGGTTCTGATGTAAAGCCTCATCCATTTTCTTCTCCACAGGAAACTGAACATCTTTTTTTGGTTTCTGCATCATAGCTACCTTTTAATTTTTCCAAAATCTAGGGCATATGCATCGCAAAGCCTTACTACGAGCCCATTTAATTTAGGTTTGCAATGCTACCTAAATGTATTCTGCAGTATTTAACACATTATTCAGGGAGAACTCCTGGAGTCCTTAGCGACACACAGGCAACTGGGGCACATCTGACACACGCGGAGTCTGCGCTATCACAGAGCCTCCTGCCAACCCTGCCAGAAGCACTCACGCAGCAGTCTGCAAACCCAGATGGGGAAGACGGCGCCTCTAGGACCCAGCCGCCTATTCACAGGGCAGATGGGACAGGAGCCGCTTCAACAACAGCAGGATGAAACAAAACCCAATAGGAGAAATAAACCAGTTACCACAACAAAGAAATTGAAAGAAAAAGAAGGATGGAGGGAGAGACCTACAGATTAAATGTCGGCGATGTGGACCACATGTGATGCATGGACTAGATCAGGACGTTGAAAACATGAATGAGATAATTGGGAAAACCCCCAAACTGACTGGATATTGGTTGGTATTAAGGAATCATTGGTAATTTTTAGGAGCAACATGGTATTGTGGTTATGACTTTGGAGTTTTATCTTCGGAGACACACTGCAAAATATTATTGATGAAATGGTATGACAACGGGCTTGTTCCTGGGGGCGGGGCTGATGAAACCAGATGGGCCCGAGCGATAACTGATGAAGCTAGGGCTTCATTATACTCTCCATAATTGCAGACGCTTGCAATTTCCACAACAGAACGTTAAAGGAAACCCCCACGTACTCATGTCTCCTTTATGGGGTCTGGGCGAAGAGACTCCTGCAGAAAACTACCTTACACCTTAACTTGGCCGTGACTGAAGGAGTGTGGGCAAGACGTGGGAACTTCCTATATGCCCTTGAGCGTGCTTCCCTTCCTCCCAACACAATACAGGTGTGAGCAAGAGGCACCTCCCATGAGCTGGTCAAGGCTGCCCGCACAGCCAACATGGCTCCCAGGTGTGGCCAGCGTGGACGGGCCCCTTGCACTGCTCTGGGCTCCACACAAACATTTTCTAACCCCGGTCAGATTCTTGGGGCAGGGTCTTTACTCACCAGCTGACCAATCCGGTCCAAGTTATCCAGAAAGTACTTCACCGATTCACCCTGTCACGAAAGAAAAATATACACAGCTCAGTGAATGTATAAAAATTAATAACATTTTTTCAAGTTAAAAAATGCAGTTTCTTTGGATCTGCCTCCAAGATGCAAACTGAGACTGTTTTTCAAGTGCCCCTGCTTGATTCTGGTGATGGGCAGGGAGGGTGCTGGCCGCTGGGACCCGGCTGCTGCCTTCCTCTGCAGACAGCGGCTGGCCTGCCCTAGGGGTAGGGCCGGAGCTACAACTGTAGCTTATGCTCCTGTGACCAGTCTGTTTCTAACAAAGATGACCCACTGCATTCTCGACACAGTCTTCGAGATAGTGAATCTTTAAGAGAACAGGCAAAAGACCAGATGTTTTCCTGTTTCTAGGAACAGGCCTAAACCCGCATTACTCCACACATTTGTGCGGCCGGGCTACAGCCTTTAATTTGGATTTCTGTGGTAGAACGACATGTTCTTCTTCCCCTCAACGTTCTCCGCACTGAATGTCCATACGGACTGTCCCCTGGCTGGCCGCGCACCTTTAGAATCGTCCAGGTCCTGTTACAGGAAGCGCTGACCCGCCACGTGTATGGCACTCCCGGGGTGAGAAGCGCCTATTGGCACTGCCACGTGACTTAATGGAGCTAAATGCAGGTGTGGTCAGTGAAAAGCACGCGGGCTTCCCTTCAAGAGGACGATGAAAATTCATGACTCTCCCTCCTGCTCCCTCCCTGACACACACACAGAGGTTGCGGCTCTCCGTTCACAGGAACCTGGCTCTGACTGGAGACAGACGAGGACAGTCCTGGGGTTCTCACGCTCCCTCATGTAAGGCTCTGAGGGAGAGCTCCCCTTGGAAAGTCCATCTCAATTCCACATTCTCAGGAAAGTGTCAGAAGTGGCAAGGCCACCAACTGGCATTCTCGGCCTCTAAGGAGTAAAGATCAATGGGGAAGTGTGAGGTGACAGCTCGAGTCTGTGACTTCATGAGAAAGAGGAAAAAGGAGATGAAGAAGGAGAGGAAGCAACCAGCTCCCGAGTTCTCTTCCCCAGTTGCCCCAAACAGACCCAAAGGAAAAGACCAAGGAGTAAATTTCCCTTAGTGAAGAATCAAACTCCCCATTTTAAAATGAAGGCCTTTGGATGATTCAAAAGACAGCATTCTGTTTACGGGGACAGAAACGCACACTTTCTCTGTGAGAGCGCGGAGGAGGAGGGGGCGCTGTGGAGCGCTCTGGCTCCGGGCAGTCTGCCTTGGAGAGGTGAGCGGCCGCAGTGGAAAGGCCCCAGAGCTCCGGGTGCAGGGAGGACACCTCGCTCCCGGCACCAGCCTCTGCCACGTGACGCAGGCCTCTCCCACTCCACACACAGCTCTTCCCAGTGGGCAAGGCCACGGTTGGGTAGTGGGGGAGGTGTCCGGCCTGTCGGGCCGGCTGTGTCCGTGTCCTTGTTTTGTCTGCACATCCCGCCTCCTCCCACGCTGGACAGGAAACAGCTGCTGAGGGGAAGGGCTGCTGGCGCCCACAGCAGACCTACCTGATCTGTGACTCGTCTCACCCTGAAACTCTCCTCTTTTACTTCCTCCCGCCTCTCACTCAGGGCCTTTGGAGCTTAAGAAGCCTCGAGACTGACCCTTCAACCACACACGCGACGGCCACACTGGACGCAGTGTAACTGAGACCTCAGCCACCACCAGCACAGCCATGACAGAGCTGGCAGTCTCACCAAGTTAACTGTCTGCCAAAGTCTCACCAACATTAACTGGTGAATATAACAGGATCTGGAGTCCCTAAAACAATATTCATCATGTCTAGGATACAACTCAAAATTACTCAATGTGGGCAGGGCCAGGAAAATGGACTCATCATCAAGGGAACCAGTGATCGATAGACAGCAACTCACATAACCCAGATAGTGGAATTATCAGACACTTTCAAGCAGCTATTATCGTTAGGTTCAATTAGGTAATAAAATGCCTATAATGAATAAAGCCATTAAAAAATCTTAGCAGATAAACAGAAAACATAGCCAAATGGAAATTTTAGAACTAAAATCTATAGTATCCAAAATGAAAACTTTAATAGGTAGACTTAATAACAGACTGGCGATGACACAGAAAAGAACTAGTGAATTCTGACATTAGATTAATAGAAATTAGCCAATTTCTATTTTTCCTAAGAGGAAAAAAACCATTAATAAAAGATGACAACACTAGTATCTGTGGGGCAACTTCAAAAGGCCTAACATACTTTAACTGGAACCCAGAGAACAAGGAGAATCAGGCAGAAAAAAATGCCTTGTATTAAAAAAGCAGAAAACTTTCCAAATTTGGTGAAAGACATAAATTTACAGATTTCAAGAAGCTCCCCAAATTCCAAACACAGTAAGTGTGGGGGAAATCACACCAAGGATATTAGACGACACACTGCTAAATAACCCATGGGACAAAGCAGAAATCACACTTTTCTGGTCCAACATGTAACCAGCTTAGAAGTTGTCACACCAGTCCTCACAGCAAGGAAAACGGTGAACAAACTGAGAACCAACAACTCATCTTAGAGCCATCAGAGAACTGACGTTACAGGGCACACTGCAACCAAACAAGGGAGACAGGTGAATACAGAGAATTACAGCTTATGGAAACAGAAGATGAGGCTGGAGCCAGCAACGGACACATGATGCCCAGTTTTCAACAGAAAATGACAAGATAGGCTAAAAGGCAGAAATCCCAGGGAAGAGACAAAGCATCAGAACCAGACTCAGGTATGGCAGACATTTTGGAAGTAACAGATTGTAAACTGAAAATAATTATGATGAATGTGCTAAGGGCTCTAATGGAGAAAGTGGGTAACATGCAAGAACAGACCGGTAATGTGGGCAGGGAGATGGAAGCTCCAAGAATCAAACGGAGATGCTGGAGACCAAGAGGCACAGGTAACCCCGACTTGCAATTGGCATCTAAAGTGTGTGTGTGGAGCAGTCTTGTGGGATCCAGCCCTGAACCCACACGGGGGATCTGATGCCATCGCCAGGGACAGTCAGAACTGATTGACACTGCAGGACACCCAGATGTTGTCTGGAGACTCTGAGAACCACACATCTGGTCACAGGAGGGTTCTGTACAAGTGGTAAAGCAGACACAGGACTGTGTTTTTCCATACAAGTCAAACCCAACAATACATAAAATGATAATACATCAATAAGATAGAAAAAGAAAACATGTAAGGAGGAAAAACACGAACATTCAACAGATGCAGAAAAAGCATTTGATGAACGTCAACATCCATTTGTGGCTGAAAACTCTCATCAAATTATGTAAAAAAAGAACTTTCTCAATCTGATAAAGGGCATCTACGAGGATGTAAACCTACAGCTAACATCACAATTAGTGATGAAACGCTGAATATGAGATCAGAGTCCAGAAATAATCCACACACAGATGGCCAAAGAGTTTTGAAAAGTTGTCACAGTAACTCACTGGGGAAAAGGGGAGCCAATAAACGGTGCTGGAAAAGCTGGTATCTGTACGGGAAAAAAGAGAACACAGACCCTATCCAAGTCATACACAAAAACTAACTCAAAATGGATCACAGACCTACATGTAAAGACCAAAACTACACAGACTTGGAAAAAACATCTGGGTAAACATCTTTGTGGTCTTGGGCTGGGAACAGAGTTCTGTGCTGGCAGCATTTTCAGGTGAGCTCAGCAGCACATGCCCATCTACAGTCTCCTCCCCTCGAGCAGGCGGGGCCAGCACTCCTGTGACGAGGCTATTGTGGGTGGGTCTCATCGAATCAGGTGGGCCTTTTCACAGAGGCGCTCCCTGGACGGAAGCAAGCAGCCATGTTGTGAGAGGAGGGCAGGCCCTGGGAGCTGAGAGTGGTCTCCAGCCAGTAACTAGTGAAAAAACAGAGACCTCAGCCCAACAGCTGCAAGGAAATGAATCCTGCCAGTGACAGGCGGGCTGGACAAGGACGAGCCTCAGGTGGACTGCAGCCCACCGACACCTAGACTCAGCCTGGTGAGACCCCGGGAGAGGACCGGTGAGCCCTGGGTGCCAGGACTCCTGACCAGTGCACCGTGAGAGGCGATTCATGTGTGTGGCTGTGTAACTTGCTACGCTGTAATCATCTGTTAGCCAGCAACAGAACCAATACATTTCTTCAGGGAAAACCCCACAAACCATAACACTTCATCTTCACTCGTGTGTCCTCAGCTCCAACAGTGTCATGCACTCAGGACTGAGTGCTCGCTGGTGAGTGAAGGTCTGCATCTTTTCAAAGCTGACTCTCTTAACGCTAGCTTAGACATGATTCCCTTTAATAACTCAGAGAGCCCTTGACTTCTGGGTGCTGTCAAAGTCCCATCTAGAAAAGCTTGAATGGTGGTAATAAGGAGTGACCCTCCCTCACAAACAGAGCTGCCTGATTAACATAAAATAAAGCGCTAAAAACCTAACGGACATCTGAAAAATCTCTAGTCAGTCATTAGCTAACTCGAAACCAATGGGATGAGTCAGGAGCTGGTTTTCTCAGGCTCTTTAGGGAAAGCTTCTATAGTTTTACTAGCTTATTCAAATAAAACAATGAACCACCTCCTCCCCATGCAACATCTGCCAAACTACCAATATTTACCGTGTTAGAAATTCAAACTGAGAGAATGAAGAAATACAAGAATATACAAGCACATATCTAGTCAGCCATCATGATGGCATCGCTGTGCCATGTGGCCTCTGGGAAGTCCAGTGTACACGTGAGTGAGAGTGAAAAGGCAAATCACGGCTCCGTATCACTGGACACAGGTCACCCCGCCCACATGGTGCGAACCACCGCCCCGAGACGGCTCCCAGCAGCAGAATCATCGAGGCCAAAGCTGGAAACTCGAGTTCAGTGGACACACAAACAGAAAAGCACCTGGTGCTTCAAGGTTGGAGTGAAAGGTCAGCAAGAAGGCCTCCGTCATCACTACGTAAGTTGAGTATGTGGCTGAGAAAAGGATAGAAGCACTGTGATTGGGTACGTGTGCCTTCTGCCTGTGGGGCTGCTCTGCTCTTTCCTATTCTCCATGTCTTTGCCTTGGGGAAGAAGTAGAAAATGTTGACAGGTGATTAAATAGATAGTAAATTACAAATTATTCAGGATTTCCAAGTAGAGAGATCACTTTTACCCAAACAAATTACTCAGGTTGGCTTTTCTAAGTAGCGCTGCCTTCTGTAAAGTCCATGGACGGCACTTTCTACACAACCTCGCATCAGCCCCAGCGTTCCCCTCATCACACCAGTGCCATGCCAAGTCAGCGCGTCAGAGCACGCTTATCATTGATCAGCGAATAAATGCGAGCAGTCAGTCCCACTGGTGTTTCCCAGACGCCACGGGAAGCACTGCGAGCTAAAAGTGCCCGCTACCCAACAAGTTACCACTGTGGCTTTCCTCAGTTCTGGGCGCAGTTTATTCTTCATCCCAAAGACACACCTGTGACATAATGGCCAGTCGCCATGTTTCTCACGGACATTACGTCCGAGCCTGTGAAGGCCCAGCCACGCACACACCCCACACGCCCCACACATTCTGCAAGTAGCACCGGAACAATCTTTTAAAACCTGCCTCTGTCCCTTTAAGTCTTCCCAACCCCTCACCCTCCAAATCCACGTTCACTTCCTTCTACTGGCAGCGTATCCCCGGAGCTAAGTTTAGCTGCCGCCATTTCTAATCTTCCCTCCAGGGACATCCGCAGGCCTCTGCTGGTGGAGCCACCTCGCAGCACCGCCAGACACTTGCTCCGCTGGAAGAATCGAATCAGAGACATGATGAAGACCAGCTGCCAAACCCCTGTGGGGACGGGGTCCCTCCTCACTGGGGCGGGGGACACTCTTCTGTCTCCAACCTCCCGCACTGCAGTTCATTCCACCCTCTCCAGTCTTGACAACAGGCCTGGTCAATCCTCACCGTCCATGTCTCATTTTGGGACAGCTTGTTGTTTTGGACCCAAAACAATAACATTTAAATGGAGTCACAGACCTCACAAAACTCCATCCATTTCCTCCATCACCTGGATCTTAACTGTGGGAACCCTTTTCGAGTTAGACTAATAGGAGAAAAAAGCAATTTGCACAGAAGTTCATGGGCAGTTCAAGGCCCAGCGCTGCGTCTTCCCTGTGGGACGCAGACCAGCTCTCTGCCCCAGTCTCCTCTGCTAAAAAACCAGAATGATAGCCCCTGAGCTGTCCCCAGACTGGCACAGGGACACAGAACGGGCTCTCACATGCGACCAGCCCTCCTGCACACCGGTTCTGACGGGGGCTGACGTGAGGACAGAAGCGAGACATTACAGAAGGAGTTTAAAGAGTGCTTCTGCAGCCGGGGGACGAGTGCCTCCGGAGCCATCACCAGCTCATGGATTTAGTTTTGAAGGACAGAAACAATTCCCACTTCGCACACACGTTTCCAAAACCAGCTTCTCAACCTGAAACGCAAATAAAATTTCACTTGATTTACAATTTGGCAACTACTGGTTCTTCCTTTACGTAGGCTTGAATTTGCTAAAAGCCACGCTCATGAACAGTTGCCCAAATAGGCTGCTGGAAAACAAAACCGCCAGCACTGTTGTAAAGAAAGTGAACAGACAGCAATAAAAATACTGCCTTTATGATTTTGGTGGTTGTGAGTGCCAAGCCGCTCCTCAGATCACTGCTTAAAATGCAGCTCTCCACCCGTGCACGTTGTCCCATCTGTCATACCCACAAGTGCCAGACCTTAGGTGCCCACCAGCCTGGCCGCCACCAGAGCCTGACATCACTTGCCCTCCTGACAAACATCACACACTCATGAACACTGCGGCTCTACCCTCATTCCTTCCCACAACCACCACCGCTGCCTCCAGTCGCCTGATGAAAAAGGTAACGCAGTGGAGAAACCCGTGAAATAAGGCATGCCAAGAACACTGATTCAAAACATCCAAAAGTTCTGACTCTGAGGTTGGGAAGCTGAACACTGGCTTCATTTCTCAGAGTAGTTCTGAGGGCCTTGCGTAGTGAGTGCCCAGCTGACAAATGCTCCACAGGGATTTGATTTCTCTAAGGTCACAGCTGGTCCCGCTGGCTCAGCACAACCCACTCATGCGGCTGGATAACAATGCCAGTAACAGCTTCTCGGTCACTGCGTTACGCCAGGCCCTGTGTTACGCACTTGCCACATATTATCTCATTTAATCCAAACAGTGCAATAGTCCCATTTTCCTGGCTGAAGAAACCAGCGCTTAGCAGGTGACTTGCCTAAGGTCCAAAAGCTGCTCAGCTCCAAAGGCCGAGCTCTGAACCACCCCGTGCCCGTGCCCAGCTGAGTCGAGCAGGACTGACCACCAAACACGATGTGCCAAGTTTTGTGTTTAAGGGTTAAGTCCGACTGCACTTCCTAAAAATGTAAAAACCAGAACAAGGATAGCAATCCATTCCCGATATGACCAGACTGCCAAGGAGAGGACGGATCCCGTGGCTGGGCCGAGCTTTAAAGCCAGCCACGCACCCCCCCCCCCCCCCGCCCTTGCTGGTGGAAGAGAGCCAAAATGAAGGGGTCAGTGTGCCCCTCGGCTAGATGTTTACCCGGCCTTATCCTCCCCCACTCGGGCTGAACAAAAGGGACAGAGAAGGGTTGAAAGCTGCCTTCTCTGCCAAAAACTGAGTCATCTGCAGCTTGGCTCTCTGGAGCTCGAAAAGGCAAGCCCTGCTCATGGAACCAGCTCGGGCCGCGGCTGGCTGGGAGGACAGGGAGACAGGAGGCCAGAGGCAGGGATGCCCCAGACGCTCCGCATAAAGAGCCCTTGTGCTTCTCGCCCTGGCTCCCGGGCCCGGCGCGCCCAGGCCGCAGCACCACTGACCAGCACCGCCCTCCGCAAACACTCTGACCTTGTACTTGCTGAGCCTTTGTCCCTCCTTCCATAATCATTTCTTAGATGTCCTGCTGACAACAGGTTAGCAGGACTCTGTAAGAGACGGGCCACCAGGGTGGTGTAAACGCCAAGGGTAACTCACAGGAGCACATCCGAGAGAAACCGGGGAGAGGGGAGTCCTGTCGCTGCAGCACGAATGCCAGCCTGCACGCAGCAGAGTGCTTCACCTGGCAGAGAAAACAAGTTCCAGCACAGGTCGCCCACAGAGGGTTTCTTCTGTCAGCCCTGCCAGCCGCTGGGTAAAGCTCCCGACCGTGCTGGGCCCTGGCTGCACTGCAGTCCTGTCAGGTGGGAGGGAGCCTGATAGGCGTGTGCTGACTGGTTTTTCAACTCCCAAAGGCCCTGTGATCTAAAGCTGGCTCCAAACCAAAGAGAATTATTCCAAGCTCTAAAATACCTGGAGAGAGCTGCCATGAGAACACTTACATTTCTCAAGGTAAGCATCATAAAGAAGGTTCTGGAAGCTGGCACCCACTGGTACCTGTGTTGTCGTATTCACTACTGGATCGTGCCATGTACTTCAAAATTTGGCACTTTCACTCAGGTGAAAATTCACTCTTAATTAACCTAAAAAAAAATCACATTGGTAAACCTCTGCCTTAAAAACAATTACCTTACAAAACAAATCGGGCTGCACAAAATGATCTTTATTTAGGTTCTGGTCTGTCACCAAAGGACATGAGTTAATACAAGATCAGCCATCAAAACCATCTATAAAAGTAATGTGCAGTTCAAGGCAGAAGGTGGAAAGTCTTATGAAATTACTTTTGTGAAACTGACTGCCAAGCAATTTGGAGATGAGACCTCAGTCAGTATCTAAGAGTCCTGATCGATCTGACTTCTTTCTCTGCAGTCGGAAATGAGATGTGAAACGAACATCCCGTCAGCTTTCCTCCTTCTGGAACCAGTGCCACCAGGGAGAGCTCAGGGCTTAGGCATCACCTGCGAAGTGTCCCCACTGGAGTGTGCTCTTCACGGAGCCCACGAATGCACATAAACCCCAACCCAGGCTGCTTCTGGGGTACCTCCTTAGAACGACACGAGGGGTTTGTTCAGGAGCAGAGCCAAAGGGGACCGCTGGCCACCCACAGGCAGGGCAGCAGGAGCCTACTGGACAGAGGGGACATTTGAAAGGTGTCGATGAATCACTTCTCCAAGCAACATGTTTTCCACCTTCTCAAATGCAGAATTTCACTTGATATTTCCGAAAATTTGTTTTAAGCTCAGCAAACACAATAGTGAACTGAACTGTACGGTTATTTCACAGAATCTTGCTTCTTAAAGCTCTAAGACACAATATTTGACCATAGACTGCACTAAAACTAGATGAAGTTTCTTTTTAAAAGAGGACGTTCACTGGGAAGCCCAACTATAGATTTATATTTAAAAAATCTCCCAAACCAAAAAAGCAGTTCCTGGCGATGAGCCTCAGGTGAGGCCGAGATGAGCGATAATGGGGGGAAGGGGAAGCGTCGCCTGGCTTCCTGTTGCTGACGCCACGATGCTCCCCCGGGAGAGAGACCAGTCACCCCTTTCACTGCAACCATCATCAAGCTCATCATTGCCAAGACAGCCTGATTTGTGTATAACGTTGGATGAGAATGAATAAAATACTACTTATTGTAAAAGGCGTCCCCAAAGACAAACCTTCAGCTCTCTAAGTACCATTGATATAGTTACATTTCCTTTTATAAAGATGCCTAAGAAGGTTCAGAGCAGTGTTGTTCTTAATAGGCAAAGAGTGGGAACCAGCCCCCATGTCCATCCCACGACGGGGGAAGCGACAGAGGGAAATGCGGTTCACCCGCAATGGAACACCCTTCAGCTGTGAAAATGAAGAAACACTGACACGTGCCCCAGCGTGAACGAACAGAGACACATCACACCGTGTGAGAGAAGCCAGGCACGGCAGCCGTGTGTCGTGTGATCCCATTTATGTGACATGTCCAGAAAATGTAGAGAGATGGAAAGGGGACGAGGGGCCGCCTGGGGTTGGGAACTGGGGTGAAGTGTAAGTGGGCACGAGGGACCTCGCTGGGAGGGTGGGAATGTCCTGGACGGGTTTATGGTGAGAGCTGCACGACTTGGTAACTGCAGTAAAAGTCACGGAATTGTACACTTTTATAAAGCTACACAAAAAGAAAGAAGTTTCCACAAAGCCAAGTTGTTTACTCAAGAACGCTCCTGTTTTGCTCAGACGGAGAATCAATCATCCCCATTTACTGTACGCCGAAGTTGTTCAATGCTGGTTCAGGTCTAAGAGCTACAATATTTCGGAAGGGAGACTTTTCAGGTAAAGCCCAATTAGAAAGTCTGGTACAAGGCCTCCTTCCTCTTCGTTCAAGCGCAGCTCTGTAACAAAACAGCAGCAGGAAGTTAACCAGTCCCTGAGTGCCAATTAAAAGGAAACCCCTGAATGGATGTTCTCCCCACGGTGCTGCGTGAGCACCGCAGCACCGGAATGCAAGGGGGATCAGGGCTGCCGTGTACCCTGGAGAGTTTGCACTTGACCTTTCTTCCTGTGCTGATAGAGTTTTGGCCCCACAGAAGCCCCTAAAAAGGAAAGGCTGAAGCAAATTTTCAGCTCAGTAGAGCTTCTAGTCCAGGCATTCCTCTCTGACGATGCTGCCTTGAAGAGCGGCCAGCTGGGGAAGTGAGCGGCACCTTTTCCTGGGGAGCCCAGCACTGCGACAGGCAGGGCACCCTCTGCCAGGAGTCTGCGTAGCTGTGTCTTACCCATTTTTCTCACATTTCTTTACTGTAAAAAATCCTTTTCCACAGAAGACTAAAAGTCTTTTTAAAATTCGGGGAAAAAAACCCTTTACAATGTGCCCTCATGGAAAAAATGGGGAAATCACTATCTTTATAATTTATTAACATTTTGACACCTGATTGGAAACATATTAGGATGTCCGTGTTTTATAACTTTGAAGGAGAGAAATGGCAAGGATTAAGACAAAATTCAGAAGAACACGGTGTGGGAGAGAATAATAAAGTAAATGTGCCTGGGTGAGAGGCAGACTGGCGTTCTCAGAACGCCTCTTACTACTTTTCTTAAGTTGAAATGATCTCAAAACAAAAACAAGAAAAACAAAAAACCGGAGACACTCTGTTCTTGTGAACTTGAGTACAAATGCTATCTGAGGAAGGTGGTTAGCAATATTTCAAAACGCCAGCCAATGAAACGCCTGTTGGGTCTGTTTTGAGATTCTCTTTTGTGGGCAGTTAGTTGGCCGGACGGGCCCTCTCTGCAGAAGGGCTAGTGTGATGCTTTCGGGGGTCCCAGGCAGGACCGGTTGTGTCTGCCTGTGCATACACTGAGCTGTGACGAGGGCTCTGGGGGGTGGGGAGGACGAAGCCAGAGCTCCCAGGAGGCACCGCGCATACCCTTTCTGGAATCTCCCAGGCTGCCCCCGCCCAGTGTCCTTTCTGGTTTCTTGTCACTGAGAAGTGCATCTGATGTTCTGGAAATTTGCCACCTGGATTACAGTTGAGATTCTGTGTGGAGCTTATTCGTTCAATTATTTGAATCCTCCAAGCCATTCTGATGCCATTTTTGACGATTGTCACATGGACGCCACTTTATAGCTCTCAGTCCAGACTCCTCTCTGCTGGCATCTGGACAGCAGTTTTCACTTGTTCCTAACATACAAATGAATTATTTTCTCTACCGTGGTTTAGGGATCCACATTCATACTTTTATTTGACTTAATGCTAAAGAATTTCCTCTCATTCAAATATTTTGTTAAAATCATAACTTTTCTAATATTCTTACTTGGAGGAAGGAAACCAGAAACATTTCTAATCCAGTGCCCATCAGCTGGTTTATCAAAGCCAAGGTTTGTCCTCTGAGCTGGGCTTGCATCTGAATGCATTCAGCTTCCTTTGTTTCTCTGAAAACTGAGAGAGTTGAATAAGCCACAGTTGGGTACCAGTGCCCAGGCATCTGAAGTTTCCCCTTGGGGTTCTCACAGCAGGTGCCAATGAATCCTGAAGGCGACACAGAGATTAATTACAGCTCTGGCCCAGTCCTCTTAGTGAATGAAATCCGTGGAGGCTTAAGGAAGCTTTAATTATTTAAATGCTTCTGTTCGGGCTGAAGGCACAGTGCTGAGATAGGTCTATTGCATTCTGTATGGCGAAAAAGTAACGATCTGTATGTGCCATGAAGAAAATGAAAGCATTTGCTTTAAGGAAAGGGAATCATAACCCTAGGAACTTGGTTCCCAGGAACCCCAACTAACTTTCCAAAATTTCAACCCTTGACATTTATAATCACTTTCATTAAAAGTTAAGGGAAAAAAATAACACCAACTTTGCCACACCGATGGCAAAAGTCAATACAAGAAGATTCTGTTACATGAACGAAGGATTAGGAAGGGGACAGTAAGAACTCTCTAAGCTTGAGAGCTCACGTCTGAATTTGTGACCCAAACATTCATGTGGCCCATGCAGGGATCAGACCGGCAACCTTGGTGCTCTGAGCACCATGCTCCAACCAACTGAGCTAACCTGTCACCCCAAGAGATTTTTGATTACTGATTAAATATCCTTACTAGTTATAGGTCTATTCAGATTTCAGATTTTCTATTTCTACATGATTTAGTCTCAGTAGGTCTTGTGTTCCTAGGGATGTGCCCATTTTAGCTAGGTTACCTAATTTGCTGGCATACAATTGTTCATAGTATTCTCTTGTAGTTTTTATTTCTGTAGACATAGAAGTAATGTCCCCACTTCATTTCTGATTTTGGTAACTGGAATCTTCTCTCTTTTTATCTTAGTTCATCCAGCTAAAGGTTTATCAGTTTTGTTGATCTTTTCAAAGAACCAACTTTTGGTTCTCTGACAGGGACGTGTGTCAATGGGGGAAGGGTCCCTGTTGGCCTCGCAGTGGATGTGGCAGTGTGGGTCTCTGGTCCTGTTGGGGTGATAACGCCATGAGACGTTGGAGTGACAAGAGGACGTGGCAAAGCTTGGACCATGAGTGGAAAGAGTGCTGTGGGGTCGTGATGGAGTTGGGACAATGTTGGTGGTCTGGAAGGATGTTTCCGTGGGTGGACCTGTACTGTGGGACTTGGTGGACTGAAGAAACCAGTTCTTCACTGGTTTTCTATTTTCTAGTTCATTTATCTCTGCTATTTTATTTCCCCCCTTCAGCTAGGTTGGAGTTTAGTTTGGTCTTTTTCTAGTTATTTAAGTTGTAAAGTTAGGTTGATTTAAATTCTTATTTTTTTTTTTTAAAGATTTTATTGGGGAATTGGGGGAGGGGAACAGCATTGGGGAATTGGGGAAGGGGAACAGACAAGTTGCTGTCGTTTTGTTCTTCAGTCTAGTTGTGGAGGACGTTGCTTCACTGGCCCATGTTGGTATTATCATTGCGCTCTTCCCGGGTGAGGCAGGTCGGTTGCTGGCCACTGGATGACCGCTCACGGCAGCTCTTGGCAGCCCCACTGCAGTCTACGCCATCACCGGCGACTCAGGGCAACCCAGCTCCAGGTCGAGCTGTTGCTCACCATCTTAGCTGTAGAGGGCAGTGTCACTGGCCCCCATGTGGGATCCGAACCGGGGCCCTGCTGCTCAGAGCTGATGTCCCAAGCCAGCTCTTAACCAACGCGCCACTTGGCTGGCCCCACATCATGTATTTTGATGGTCTGTCATGAGGTACATGAATGTTTATAGCTGTTATATCTTCTTGTTGTATTGAACGTTGTATTAATATGGAATGTGTTTCTTTGTTTCTTGTAGCCTTTTGTGATTTAAAGTCTACTTTGATATTAGTAAAGCTACCACCCTACTCTCTCTGGTTACTATATACATGGAATATCTTTTTCCATCCTTTCACTTTCAATCTATTTGCCTTTGGGTTTAAAGTGAGTCTCTTGTAGACAGGATATAGCTGGACCACGTATTTTTTATCCACTCTGCCCACCTTCTTTTTATGCACAAAGGGAAATGAGAAAGTTTAAACATTTCACTACAGAAAATCAACTAAACACAAAAGAAGACAGTTGTGCCGGAAATGAGGGCAAAGCAGCGACAAGGAAGGTGTCCATTTAGACTTAGCGATTTGTCTGTCTTTTTATACAAACCACTTTCAAACAGGAATAAAAACAAACTGCAAGAACAAAAATATGTATGAAGCCCTTCGTCATTTCCTTTAAAAAAGACAACGTTGTACATAGTTATGAAGCTAAATCTGCGTTAACGAGCCATGTCCTTTCTTGGGGTTTGGTTTGTGGTACACCTACCGCAGCTGGCACAGAACGCACTCAATATGTGGGTGTCACTATTTATATTATTATTCTCAGTGAGATTCTAAACACTGTGAACTGTTGGGGTCCACACACTGACAGCCCTTTCAAGTTTGGTGGTAATATACTTGCCTTTTATAATTTGGACTTTTTATTACGTTATGAATTATTGCCACTCAATTATGAATTACAAACATTTTAAAATTAAAGTTTTTGAATAATATATGCATATAGTACCAACTTAAAAAAAAAAACTTAAAAAGGGAGCGGGAGCACTGAAGAAAACTATCTCCCCGTTACCCAGCTGCCCTCTCCAAAGGTAACCACCGTGACTAGTTCCTTGGGTTTACAATTTTACTTTAACAGGCTTGATCAAGGTGTCCCTTTCCTGTAGTACACTGCTTCTTCTTTATTTTAAAACCTTGTTTTGGGTTAAATATTACCAGGTACGAGGCCTGACAATTAAGTTCGGGAACTTGTTGCAACGATGTTGCTAACCTTTTTTGAAATCAGAGGGATTTTTCATTATGAAATTGTGCCAACTGGACAGTTCGCCAAGTTTACTATTTGGAAGTGCTGAAAAGGCTGCGGGAAAAAGTTAGACGACCTGAACTTTTCACCAACGATCCATGGCTCTTGCATCACGACAATGCACCAGCTCACACGGCACAGTCTGTGAGGGAGTTTTTAGCCAGTAAACAAATAACTGTATTGGAACACCCTCCCTACTCACCTGACCTGGCCCCCAGTGACTTCTTTCTTTACCCGAAGATAAAGGAAATACTGAAAGGAAGACATTTGGATGCCATTCAGGACATCAAGGGTAATACAACAACAGCTCTGATGGCCATTCCAGAAAAAGAGTTCCAGAATTGCTCTGAAGGGTGGACTAGGCGCTGGTGTCGGTGCAGCTTCCCAAGGGGAGCACTTGGAAGGTGACCGTTGTGATGTTCAGCAATGAGGCATGTGGCACTTTTTCTAGGATGAGTTCCTGAACTTAAGTGTCAGAGCTTGTAAGTTGATTGGAATGAAACAGAGCCAGTCTGAAGTGTCTTGGAAAACTAGGATTTAAGTAGGAAGTTACTATGTAAGCTAAAGAGAGGGTAAAGAATAACATAGAGGAGGAGAAAGAACCTATATGTGGTATCTTCTGAAGACAAGTTCTAGCAGAAGGGGTGTGAATAAAACACTCCAGGGCCAAAACACAGAGGACTCCCTTACGACCACTCATGCCAGCGCCGGCGGGCTGCTCAAGGACCGTGCTCCCTTGGCAACAGCTCTGTGCCTGTCCTTGGCCTGGTGCTCCTGCCTCAGAGCACTTTCACAGACAGTCACGCACTGGACAGCACACCTGGGAGACAGGTAGGGTGGCTCTTCCTCTACTGATAAGGAAACGTGGGCTCAGATGCCGTGTGCAGGCGGCTGAAGTTAGTGGCAGAGAAGGATGAAGCAGGACTGCTGGCCCCACTCTGCTTCCCCCGCCTGCTCGCCGTCCTCAGCTCCCCCGACAACATCTGGGGCAGTGCTAGCCAGCTGCGGTCTTCTGGCTGGAGCACCCTTCTACCATGCCACAGTTGCCATGACACCAGCAAAGGGCAGGAATGAAAACTCATGAGCTCAGACTGGATAGAGAAAGGTATCTCGGAAGAGAAGCGAAAGGATAAAATATTTGAAATACGAGAATTGTGAAAGAGAATGAAAAGGAGAGAGGTGAAAAAGAAGGTGGCTGGGGATCAGCAAGCTGAAAGCAGAGCTTGGCTTATACACCAACACGCGACACTCTCGTCAGAAGCAAACCAAGGGCAGTGGGGCTGGGTTGGGAGGGGCACTTGCGAAGTACTGGCGGCTGCAGTACAGTACTGGCTTCCTTGGCTCAGGCACAGGTGTGAAGCCGGAACTCCAAGGACAGTCGCATTTGGCTTGAGACATGAGCCATCTGTGAGACAGCCAGGCTCGTCCCACCACACGGCTGGGGAAGCACCAACTCGGAAACGAGCTCTGGGGACTTGCTCCACGCCCCAGAATGGTGCGAGTACACACTGCAGTAGACCACAGGCAAGCGGAGTTGCTTCTACATCGCACATGGCTTAGGGGACAAGAGCAAAGCCTCCTTAAAACAAGGGTCAACCAGAGCTACTCGTCCCAGTGTACGGGTCACACCAGGCAGCGCATCCCACCATCAGGCTGGTCGACAGCACGCCACGACTGAACGGGTCACGAGCAGGCGCATGCCCACCCGTGAATAAAACTCACACACGTTCCAACCACAACCAAAACAAAAATGACCTTTAAAATGTTTTCTCAACTACATAGTATATAAGAAAGATAACTGAGGTAGTTCAGGGGATATACTTGTATTTATACCAGGTTTTAATGTTTTATGCATACGTATACACATACTTTTTTCTTCCTAAACAGAAACCGGACACACACACACACACACACACACGCACGCACGCACGCACGCACGCACGCACGCACACGCGCTGCCGCTGAGCCTGTTTCCACCTGATGTGTGACGGACTTTCCATGTCAACACACACAGCTCTTGTCAGCTCTTCTAACGGCAGCCTGACGCGTGGTCCATATTCCAATTTACTCAACCCACACCTACTGGAGGGCGCTGA